GCTCGCATCCACGCAGAACGGTGCATTTCCTACCGAAACAGTGGTTTTCTCTCTACCTTTTCCTGGCGTGTCTCACATAAGCAAATCTGTCGTTTCACTTTACACAGGCCGCATCGGGTTCTCAGGAGAGAAGTTTGAAGAGCTTCCAGAAAATGGCAGGGAGCTGGCATGTCCTTGTCTGTAGCGTTTAGTTGGGATACTGAGGTACTCCTTTTTCAAAGCACCGAAATGACTTCACAGAGTAATGCCTTCGAAAACTCCGGTCTCTCCGAACACCGTGTCTGAGTGCCCTCCACTCCACTGCAATGGAAGCAAACCAGCAGCTTGCAGAATTCACCTTACCACGTCTGCAAGCTGGTGTCATCTCCAGCCACTGAGCTACCTGGTTGCTAAGAGTTAGTGCGAACAGCAAGGAGGTAACTGCTCTTGATATCAGAGTAAGGTATGGGGCAGGGGTTTAAGCCGTTTAGACACATTTTATGATATATGATAGCATTTTTTATTATATAAAAATACCATATTTTATTATATGATAGCATTTGATCACAAATTTTAGTAGTGTTTTGGCAAAGCTCTTGTTTCATGGATGCTGTGCACACTGGAGAAGTAATCACCCCTTATAAACCTTAATAATTTGGGTTAAAAATGGCATATTTTTTCTTTGAGTATTCAGCTCACTTCTAAGATTCAGCTGGGCAGGGTGCTGGGACATCTTGCTTAGACCGTGCCTTTGCCAAGAAAGGTTGGACCAGATGATCCTCGAGGTCCCTTCCAACCTGGTATTCTGTGATTCTATGATTCCCCTCTCTGAAGTGTTTATGTATAAACAACTACTACCCCATAAGAGTATTTCTCCTTCCTGTTGTGTTCAGTGATGAATGACTTTTTTTTTTCTAGAGAGTTAGTAAAATCGAACAGCCTACGTACAATTAAAATTTGGAACAAGTAAGCTCTGATACACCTTGGCATATCAGTTTAAGAAGCTCCATCCCAATGTACCCATCTTGCCACTCAGCCTACCTTAAATCCACTTTCTCAGCAGTTCGAGGTACACTAGGCAGCTCACTCGCACATCTAAGAGAAGATCACGTTGGTTTCTATTGAGTCACTGTGGTGATGCTGAAATGGGATTGCTGCATCTTAAACTTCTACCCTAATGTTGTCACTTGCACAGCACTGAACTGGAAGATGAGAGGATCCCACACAGGAAGATGCTCTGAGCTTGTAAAAGTTGCTTCCACATTTTCAGAGAATCTAAACTGGCACTGCTTTGATCCCAGCCCACCCCTCACACTTGCACTATAGCTTGTCTGACCCAGCCTAGGGAGCTAAACCAGCAGACAGCTCGGTTGTTTAGGGTTTTTTTTCTGTTGTTGGGCGAGTGTTTCTGGGGGGTAGTGAAATAGGATAAATACAAATGCTGACTAAGGAGGAGGGACTGGGTTGTGCTGATGTAGGACAGCGTGACCTGCTATAGAAACGCGCACACTGTCCACTGAGTTCCATGTAGGAAAGCACAGTGTTGCACAGAATAGCTGGGTTGGGGGCATTCTCTGATTAGTTCCTCATGAGTCACTCATTGCTGCCAAGCAGGAGTCAAATGCTGCCACTGCCACTCTGTTTTTTGCTAGTTTTACGCTGCTCAGAAAACAGAGTACAGAAAAATGAAGGACCAGGCCCTGGGCCTACAAACTGTTTCGTATCTGCCTCCTGTACTCAAAAATATCTTATGGTTTTCTTTCTGCCTCCAGGGAGAAAAGTCCTGATAGTCTATGCACATCAAGAGCCCAAGTCCTTCAATGGATCTTTGAAGAGGGTTGCTGTGGAAGAACTGAGCAAGCAGGGCTGCAGTGTCACGGTGTCTGATTTATATGCAATGCAGTTTGAGCCGAGAGCAACAAAAAATGACATTGTTGGTGAGACTAGCCAAAATACACTTTTTTTAGCAATAATGACAAGACAAACTTTGACCTTGTCTATCCTGCTACCAGAACCACGCTGTTAGGTACGCTCCCCAAAATAGTTGCTATTATTTTCTACAAATATCCCTCAACTATCAAGACCCAGCTTTTAATTTTCTATTAGCATTGACTAAGAAACATCAGAGCAAGAACCCAACATGTTTCATCTTCATTTAAATAAACCTGATCACTAGAAATGGCCTCTCAATCAGAAAAATTAAATATCTGTATAGTGCAGATTTGTGAAAGTGTTCTTCCTTCAGATTAAAGTGAATGAGGAAAAATACTATTTTTACACTATTTGCAATGAGCTGCAGAGACATTTTAAGAATGATCTTCTCTTAACAAATAATGTTACAAATAGTTCCTGCAAATTAACTGAGGCTTACACTTCTGAGTTGTCTTGGCACCTTCAGACTACGTCGGTAGTATATACTTACTAGAAATGACTAGATGATGCAGTTAGGACTTGAGAAAAGTAGTGATGCTCTTGTTAGGCTTATGTGGTATTTTCACTGTGCTTTTACTAGCACGTAGACTTTTTCCAGGTTAGGAAAGCCATTAAGCCATGACATAGAATCATAGAGTAGTTAGGGTTGGAAAGGACCTTAAGATCATCTAGTTCCAACCCCCCTGCCATGAGCAGGGATAATCTGCAACAGCTGAGATTTTCATTAAAACAAGAATCAAAAATAAATGACACAGGTTCAGTGCAAGCACTGGCAAAAGCAAGAAGAAAATTAATGATCAGATATAAGCATTTCTAAAATTCCACTCCTGAATATGAACCTTGTCTCATAGTGACATTTCTGAGAGGAAAAATGCATTAACAGTATCCACAATCCATCACTGAAGTCCATTTCTCATGGGTGAGAAATGCCATCAAATACCACTACATGACTTGTTAGAGTTTAGTTGATGATGCTACTCTGCTCGTTCATGAGGCCTCTCTTTGCTAGAGGTTAATCATCTAGTAGTTGATTTGGAGAATGGATGTGCACGATTGATTCAGACATACTTGACTGAGCTCACCCAACTAACTGTAGTGCAGTGGAGTCAGCAGAGATGGCCAATACTGGTTCCCCAACCCTGGTTGAGTTTCCCAGCTACAGAGGCTGAAGAGCAGCTACATAGTGCTTGTGATTGCATGGTAGTTTCAGTAATCTCTAATGCAGGGGCACAGCAATTAGCAAAATTCTCTTAAATCATCCATATGCATCACCAGAATCTTGAGCCAAGCTTAGGTCCTCTTACTGCACTTCATATGTTGCTACAGAAAGGCAAAAGTTTTTTAGAACCCTCAGATACATTCTACTCTAGTTTAAAGACAAATCACCATCAGCTGTGATGATGCTGAATATCCATCAAAAAAAAAAAAAAAACAAACCCAAAAAACAACCCAAAACCCTGTAGATTGCAATGTGTATTTAATTCTTATCTGGCTATGAAGCTAGAAACAGGGCCAGGAATGGCTCGTCACTTCTACCCACAGGTTGTTTGCACAACTCAGAAGAGTTCAATTATGGCATGGAGACATTGGAGGCTTACAAGAGAGGAGGTTTGTCCAGCGATCTCATTGAAGAGCAAAAGAAGGTGCAGGAAGCAGACTTAATGATTTTTCAGGTCAGTATTTTAAATTGTAGTAGAAGACTTCAGTTGTAATGTACAGGGTTGAACAAAAGAAAAGCAATAGTAAGTGAAAAAATTAGAGGTTTTTTAGGGATGCTGAATCTAGCCAGAGTAAAAAGCTGTAGTAACTCTACCATCAATACAAAACAGTCGGTATCCAGCATAGCAATTTTAAGTTGTCAGGTTTTTCTTACAGCGTGTGGATTTTGGAAAAGATAAAAAAACCCAGATCATATGTAAGCATTATTCATGCTAGCACAGTATGAATTTTGCACACAAATAATGGCTCCACACTGTCATTTTTGAGGAGTAGGATGGCATCTGAAATTAGAACCTTAAAATACCTGAATAAAATTCACAGCAGTGCTTCACTTAAAAATTTATACTCAAAAGTAGTCTGATGGCATAGGTTTTGTGAAGACTCGTCCTCACGCTACCTGCATTCCAAAACTATTATATAGAGCAGCTCAGACCAGAAACTGGTCGGAGCAAAAATCGTAGAATCACAGTCTGGTTTGGGTTGGAAGGGACCCTGAAGCTCATTCTAGTTCCAAACCCCTCCCTCAGCCAGGGACACCTTTCAATGGACCAGGTTGTTCAAAGCCTCATCCAACCCAGACTTTCAGGGATGGGGCAGTCAAAGCTGCTCTGGGCAACCTGTTCCTGTGCCTCATCATCCTCACAGGAATAATTTTTTCTTAATGTCTAATAATACTGTAATTCTCAATATAAAGATCATACCATATTATCAGACAGTGTGATACTATCCTTTTGTCTTGGAGCTCAAAGAAAGCAAACACAGATTACACTCAGAAATGTGTGTTTAAGGCAGCCACACCGAGTTACAGGTTTGGGATATGGTAACAGACACCAGACCAGAAACTTTAGGAATAAACACTTCAACTCTAAGTAATGGTACAGTAACAAATACAGATCAGTAGTATAATTATTGGGGTCATTACAACAGCAGACGCAGTAATTCGGTAGCACTATTATCCAGGTTGAAACAACAGCAAACCTAGTAATACAGCAGCACCGTTCCTTTTGCATTTCAGCAATAGGAGACACAATTCTGTACAGTCTTAAGTTTAAATTAAATGGCACCTTCCTGCTTCATCATGTCCCAAGTTTGTGTGTAAGCCCTCAACATCTACCATGGTGTTAGTGTGCTATAGATGCTCAGGTATGTATCTGAGACTACTAAAGAGAAAAAGCACTTCAGTTATTTTTCCCAGGCATAATTACTGCCTCTGTTCATTGACAGCTGGAAGAAGGCATGTATGAGATCTGAATAGATTAAGAGAATAGGATTTGGCCTGTAGACCAGGCCTAAGGATGGCCCAGACTCTGTGCTAACAAGGTAATTACTTTTTGCATAGTTTCCCTTGTATTGGTTCAGCATGCCAGCAATCATGAAGGGCTGGATGGACAGAGTCTTAGTCCAAGGATTTGCTCATGAATTTCCAAACTGTTACGATTCCGGTTTGCTCAAGGTACGTTTTTGAGATTATTTTATTAAGATCAAGATTTGCACAATGCTCTTGACTGCACTGGTCTTACTTTTCCATTATATTTATAGAAAGCTCTCACTTTATGCTCTCCTGAAATAATGCTTTGGTTGAATAACTTTCTAGCTTGTTAAAACTGTCTGAAAAGGAGTACATTATGGGGAACGCAGTGGCCCGAAAGATTTGGTCGATCTAGAGATTTTTAGTTGGCCTACAAAATAGTCTTTATAATTTTGTAGGTGTAACAGAGTGCACTGGGATGGCTTACAGCTTGCAGACAGTTTAAACTGATCCATTTCCTAAAACTATAGTCTGTCATTCTTCCCGCCTCCATAAGAATGCACCAATCTGTAATAAGTGACAGATTAGAATAGGTGACAAGATCCTGTTCTTGGATTAGATGTCGAAGGTGGAAATAAAACTAAAAAACTTAATCAGAAACCCAAAATACCCAGTGAATGAGCCTCTGTCCCAGCTATCTCCTTTTAACCTTTTCTTCTCTGTAGCTTATAAATTAGGCAAGATCAGTATCTGTGGATGACAATTCATAAATTTTCTGACTCCCTGCAACACTGGGAATATTCCTGGAAAATTTTATCCCACTGTCTGATGGATCTTGTTTGGTAACAACTGCAGCATCCAGAAACAATATTAATTTCACATTGATGTTTGCTGCATATTAATCTCTGTAATTTCTGATCATCTTAACAATTCCAAATATTTCAGGTTGTTTAAATATCAGAGATGAGTGCAAGCTGGGTGCAGGCTCAAGGCAGTTCAGATACTGCACTGGAAAAATGTTATTTCAATTACGGAAGCTAAAACTGAGAGGAGAGAAGCTGAGCATAAGCCCGTGACTAATACCATAGTTACAGAAGCAGAAGAAACACGGGGGTTTAGAACACCTGAGGAATAATTTATTCTCCAGTTTTCCTTGGCAGGTGACAAGCAAGCCCGAGGTTTGAAGGCGGACTGTAGCATTCAATTTCTGCATTCAGGAATGACAGGAATAAAGAAATTCTTGGTAACAGAGTGCTTTCCAGCCACAGTTTTCCAAACATTGCATAGGGTAGAACAAGGATCAGCCCTGCTTCGTATAATGGTGTCAGACATTAATTGCTTTTCTTTTTAACCTGTCTCTGCCCAAAGCCCTGACACACAGTCCACTGTCTAATTGTGTGCTGTCAATCATTGCCTCAGACCTGCCACTACACATATGGTTTGGGAAAGAAAAGATAACACCTCCTCTAGAAATTTATGCTGCCTAGGTTCCCCTGAATATCTCTTGAACTATTCAGCCTAACTCAAGCACTACTTTCTTAATTCTAGAACAAATTAGCCCTGTTTTCTTTCACCACTGGAGGAAGCAAAGAGATGTATGCAAAAGGAAGTATCAATGGTGATATTCGCTATCTCTTGTGGCCCATGCAGGTATAATATATGAATATTTGGTTGTTCTTTGGCTTAATTTTTATTATTACAATTACTTCGGTGTTGTATTATTGTTTATTTTATGTGAAATACAATATAATAATAAATAATTAGGTTGTCAGTTCCAAGCATCTGCAGGTTATAGATCAGGCCCTAAAATCCTGAGACTACTTTAAAAGTCCACGGAGTTTTAAAGTTGTTTTGTTCCCCTTCTTCCAGATTGGAATCTGGAGAAAGCCTGTACTGCTCACCATGAAAGTTTCTCTGGTGTTACAGGATATCCTTTCACCCTAGTGTGCAGGATTTATCTTCAACATAACTTCCTGATTCATGTAGGATACGGAGCAGGAGGGGGAGTCGCACATTATCCTGGCATTAATAATCAGCATACAAAAGTTAGCGTGCCTGTTCATGTTGCTGCTCTTTTACCAGAAGTAGCAAGCATGCTGTGAGAAATTTAGGTGGCAAGGCAAATTGTGCTAGCTACTTTTTGATACAGTACTACGGATGTGCTTGAATTCTTTGGTCTCCTACCCATTGTGATTTGCAGCTGCTTGCCCTTTTGAGGCTAACTAGCTGCAGAGCTTGGAAGGTGACATGGCAACGTTGAAACATAACTGTAAATTCAGAAATACACAGAGGGAAAACGGCATGGCCAGCTGATTTGAAAGGCACTAACCTTCATTACGGATCATTTGGCTAAGGCAGAAGCAAAAAAAAAAGTTAAAAAACAATGCTTAGAGGTAGATGAGAGATACACTGCAGTTCAGGAACAGTCTGTGGAGATTCAAGCAGTACAATGAACTTTAGGCTGTCTCTGATCCTTGCAAATATAACAGCATATAGCAGCCAAAGAGAATAGTTCTGTGTATTTAATAGCACTTAAAAATAAGTTCTGCAAAGCAAAATAAATGAAGTTGATCTTATTTTTCAGTGTATTGTATGTCATTCTGCTTAATGCCCAGCTTTCAATAGCAGCTGCCAGGATAGGTACTAACTCCTGCAATTTATTTCCCTTCTCCTGATAAATGCATAGGTTTAGAAAATGTGCCTTATATTGGGTCATAGAAACAGTTTCAGTTTTGAATCTTCCACATTCTTGAATTACAAGTGAAAGAATAACTATTTACTGAGTTACTTATATAATACTTAGTTATTAAAGAACTCGGGCATTTCTTTCTTTGCTTTGAGGTCAGCATGGAATTATGCACTTCTGTGGTGTCAAAGTCCTTGCACCTCACATCTGCTTTGCTCCAGAGTATGTCTCTGAAGAGAAGAGGAAGGACATGCTGATTGCCTGGGCCCAGCGTCTGAAGACTCTTTGGAAGGAAGAACCCATAAACTGCTCTCCTGAGTGGTATTTCAAGTAGTGTTCAGGTCCAGGACTACAGAGACATTTTCTTACCTCCGTTCTTTTTGGTACTTTATCTCAATATCTGAATGCTAATCTCTGAATCCAAATGTATTATAAATATCTTGAGTACTAGAGCTAACAGCTTAACTGACAATATAGCATTTATTTTCACTGATTCCTGAGGGATTCTCTTCAATGAAGGGTGAAAAACGCTTTGTGAGGAATTATCCTTGCTTACCTAAAGTATGACATCCTGCCTGCAAGTGGTTGATAGCACAAGCGGTATTTAATTGCAGATTGTACTATTGCTTTTTACAAAACAGTACGTTACAGTTTTAAATAAACTGGTTTTGTACCAGCTGCCACTTTTTCTTATTTGCCAGGGAATACGATGCCCATACTCAACCTGGTGAATCCTGGTCTTTTAAAGGAGGGCTCTACACTTGTGCCTTTGAGTTACGAAGGGAGATCATGAGTAATGCAAAAGGACATACAGTTGCACAGTGACATAGCTAGTAAAGCCGCGTGGACAGCCTTAGGCTTTTCCACGTATTTACAAAACAACATTAAAGCTATGACGGATGCAGAAAAGGAGAAAAATAAATACAAATCTTGTACAGCAGTGTGTGCATGTATTGCCTTTCTCTATAGAGTGTAGCTCCCATTTGTAAAGTATGTAGTTTTCTAAAATCAAAGGGATTTCTCTTTTTCTTACTCTAAGTAAAGACAAAAGGAAATTCTACCTGTTCCCTGCCCTTTCACACCAGGCAGTATTGCTGTTTGGGTCTGGAGGGCTGGGTGCATCCCCTCTGTCATTAGATGGGCGTCCTCAGAGATCTCCAGCACTGGTAGTTGGCAAGGCAGAACACCTACCCAAAAACCTGCAGGAGCACTGTCTGTCTTTGAGCCAAGATCTAGCAGGACAAAATGACTGTCTGGCTCTTAACATCTATGGCTTTTACCTTAAACTTCAGTAGAATCATTTTTGTCCTTGGAGCTGTTAACCCTTTTTGTGCACATGGCAAAGGGTGGGTTTCTCACTTAGTGACACAATTTCTTACTTTGGTCAGCTTACCCAACAGGTGGCTTTGCAATTTGATATTAAAAGAATATGGCCTGAATAAGAAGTAATCTTCTGAGTCACTGTCAAATGACACGTTAGCCTCTGCATGAAAGCATGCATCTGCCATACATTCTTTATAGCAGCCTTGTCATGCCCGACCCTTATGTTTCTTTAAGGGCTGTTTGGATAGTAAATATGCCTAGATTCTGGAGTGGCAGTGTACGATGATACACCAGACTGGGAATTGCTACCACAGGGAAA